GCGGGCGGCAGGAGAGGTCTGTGCGCCATGCGGGACCCTCCTCCAGTGGCCAGGGAGCAGCCCGGGTTCGAACGGGCGCTGCAGAGGATGCAGGCAGCTTCGCAACCCAGCGCTCAACCGCTGCGCCACAAAGGGAGGCCCGATTATCTACCATTTTCTACAGAAAAGAAAACTGGTTGTGTAGCATAAATCTGACTGTACTCCAAATTGGGGAAATGGGGAAAGCCAGAAAAGCTATTTATCTTTAAAACATATTTTAACTGTGGTTGAGTGGAAAAGTACTCCATTTCAATTGGAGGCAATAATTATTAGCTTTAACTTTTAGGAGATATGAAATAATGAAAAGGACTTTAATACAACACAAAACAGATATGGTGAATTAAGCTTTACATGCAACATCAAGCATAAAAATAGAGTAATTACAAATATGAGAAAAGCCAGAATGATAAAATACTGGCTTTATGATTATATACTGTTTAACCTGAATTTTAACTAGCTACATTAAAAGATGATGTTTGGAAAGTTCATTTTTTTTTTTAAAGATTTATTTTATTTATACAAGAGCTGGGGTACAGGTTAGAGGCATGGGAGGGTGATAGGATTTACCAGAGACAGAGTGGGGAGCAAACAGGCAGATCTGCTGAAGTACACTGCTAAGGGGAGCAGCGTGTGAGACAGGAGAGGTCTGCTGAGCCATGTGGGAATCTCCCCGGCTGGCCGGGAATCGAACCGGCACTGCAGAGGTTGCAGACAGCTTCAAAGCACTGTGCTCAACCTGCTGTGCCACAAACATTTATACTTTACTTTTATAAAAGCAAACAAAGTAGAAGAGCTTCAAAGTTACACTTCTATGATTCTATTAATTCTTCTTTCACTTTCTATTAATTCTCCATCATGAACAGCTGTTGAAAAACTTTGATTGCCATGTAAGCTACTAACAATAAAACACTACTGCTCTGCCTCATTCCAACTACAAAGTTCATTTACCTCTTATTAGTGGTGGTTTTTGTTTTTTAGTTTATGGTGTTCTTTTTTTTGCATTTTTTTTTTGCCATAAACTTTTAATATTGAGATAAGCTTGGGTTTCTCTCATCCCTGGCTGATGGAAACTAGATACACTTCTATGTCCATGACCAAAGGAATCCTGTCCTTTCAGTTTTAGAATCTGTACATTATTTGATGTGTCAATGAGATACATAAAATTTATATTTATAACAGCATGGCAAGATACTTTCTCCATGCATACTATTTAACTACTGTATGGTGCTGTGGAGAAAATAAACCTAAAGAGAAATTCCAGATTGAATTACCATCTATTCCAAGCAAATTAAAAGGCTATCAAATTTTACTATGAAAATAACAATTTTATTTTCATTCCAAAGACAGATACAACTCAATTTTAAACAAACAAAAAGAGCCCTAGTTACATCTGGAACAGAGTTACAAAACTTAAGCGGTAGTGGAAACAGCTGATAGAATACACTAAAAAGTAAAAATAATCAAATAATAAAAACTTTGAATTACCATAAATTGTACATGATGCTTAACATTTATTTCTGGTTACAAAATAGTTCATATACAAAGTAAGTATTCATATGTATGGTGGCAAAATTTAAAAAAATAAAACTTTTTAGTACGTATCAGAACTGAAGAAAACAGCTATTTCTCAACTACTTTAAAAAAAAATCTTTTTCTTTCATTGCTACTAATTTGAGGAGCAAATCCTTCTTCTGAATGAAATGGTACATTACCTTTCATATATGAGCATTTCCAAGTCCTGATTTTCTATTTTTTTCCTAAATTCTATTTTCAATAATTGAAAATAAACTTAGGAGGTATACTCCTTTATCAGTAACCCTCTTTAATTTGCTACTGCATCATTTTATTTATAACAATAGTTCACATGGGAACATCAATTAGCTAATATTATTGACATATTTTATCAAACAAATTAACATTTCTGGACTATTTATCCTAAGTATGTATGTGCTAAACATTACAATTTTGAACTTTTTCTAGTCAAACAAGTGATGACTTTGACAAATAAGTACTTGCATGGATAAACACACGTACTCCAACATGATACTTTTGATTAAAGAAAAACAAAATAATATTTTAAAACACTGCTGTTGTTTTCAAAAGCATGTATCATGTACCAGTGAATCACTGTCCATCAATCTAATTCATCAAAACTTGAAAATACATAAAAAAAGTAAAAACTTGAAAATACAAAAAAATAAATTCTATAAAGAAAAGTGGGTTAAAATAAATATGATAAAATTTTTCTATAGTTCAAATTCTTGAGTAGCTTTTATATGAGGGGTTGTATTATATGGATAATTAGAGAAACACAAAATAATAAATTTTAAAATCTGGCTACAAATAGCTTACAATCTCATATGGAAAAAGCAGCACAAAACACAGTATTAAATTAGACTGTGCAAGTGCTGTGACAGCAGCCTATGCGAGGGCCAAAGCCTGGAGGCTGACAGGACTAGCAGGGTTGTGGCGAGGATGCCTCCATTAAAAATGGCAAAGGTAAGATGGGGAACAGAGTTTTCAATAAACAGAGCAACATACTCAATCAAGGGGCGGGGGTGGGGGAAGTAGGACACAATGGATTGTTTTGAGTAAGACAAGATGATAGCAATTGCTAGAGCATAAAACAGAGGACAATAGGGATGTCAATAACAGCCCACAAGGAATACCAGATGAATATCTGAAAAGTAGCAGCTTGGTCAAGAAGGGACTCATCGTGTCAAGAAGCTTGACCTTCATCTACAGGAAACAGAAAGGCAGGGTTGGGAGGGCTCCATCAGGAAAGCACGGTATTCATTGGCTTGGGAGATGAAGCAACTCAAAATGTAGTAGAGAGGACTGACTATCAGTAGTATAACAGAGGCTAATATTATTATTTCAAGCTAAATTCACTAATCTTGCTTAAATAATGTAAAAGGTACAATATTTGTTTTTATAGTATGCTACACATAAGTTGTCATTTACACATATGATTAATAATATCATTGACAGCAGAACTAAAAATAATATTGAAAAGATATTTCAAGTTTTAAAATACTCAACCATTCTTCGATTCAAGTAAGTTCCATTTTAGACATTATCATCCATCATCACAATTATCTATTTCATCTCCTGTTTAAAGACACAACTTTCTTTACTTTCTTTATAATGTTGAAATTTAGTAATTTCTTTCAATTATATCTATTATTTTTATTCATTGTTCCCTTCCCAAAGTTACCACAGGGAGCTTCAGAAACAATATTTCAGGAGGAATAAAAATAAAACCAATAAAAATATGTAGGAAAGACATACCATGAATTTATGAAATAAAAAAAGAGAATAAATCATATTGAATAAAGAACTGGAATTACAATTACAAGTTCTTTAAAAAACCCCATTCTAGATTAACCATGGCTTCATTTTCAAAATAAACATACTTGTCAAAAATCTACAACTCATTAGCAAACTGATAGTACAAAGAGAAAGTTTGATTCAGAGGCCAAAATAAGTTTTGAATGGGCATTAAAATAAAGTTTATAGCCTCATATTAGATTATTCTTAAAACATTACTGAATTATTAAAATTGATTTTGAACATTTTGTATTACTTGAAAAATCATATATATATATATATATATATATATACTCAACAAAGATAATACTGTACAACTATTAGTCTCATTTTAAGTTACCCATCTGACTTTCGGACCTATTCTACCTGCTGTTTTGAATGCGGTTTATCCTATTTTAGAATGAGCTTGTTCCTGTACATCAGCCCTAACACAAAACCTATGCCAGATACAAGCTTTTCCTTGCACCTCTATTGGTCTATAGTTTAAACTCTACAATAACTTTATTACTTTTAAGTAAATATGTGGTACAGAAAATCCTTTGGAACTATAATCCCCACCTATAACCTAACCTAAAAATTTTAAATATCATGCAAATACATTTAAGTTCTACAATTAAAAAACCAACAAAAGTGAAACTGTGGGTGTCAGTAGATACTTCATCTAGATAATGTCATCCTTTCAGTGAAGCAGCACCTTACTTACTTTCCAAGCCATGTACTGTAGATATAAAACATGTAAGTATATAAATTCCATGGGTGTTCAAAGTCAGAAAATACACAGAAAACAATTTCTGTGCCTTTCATCACCACTGTTTTTCATGTTAATCCTGGATATGCAAAACAGTAATGATAAGTAAACAACATTACACCATGAGCACACTGTAAACAAGTGTAAAAGTGCTACATGTTATGAAAGGAAAAAAAACAAACTATTGATATGTGGCAAGAGATGCTAATTTTGTCTCTAGTAGAGAGTCACATTTTTTAAGGGACCAATCCACCAAGTTACTTGGACAAACAGAAGAATTCTAAAAGTTCCAGTGATTTTGCACTTTGGATTAGGAAGGTCTGTTCTTACTTTTCAGCACTCCTTGGCCTCTCCATTCTCAGGGACAGTCATCATTTCACTTTAGGGTAGCATCAAATGAACATTGGCTTTCTTTTTTAAGAAGAAAACCATGTTGCTCACATTCACAACTTCCACATTTTTATACTGTCTACTACATATTCACATGTTCATATGAACTTTTCCCCAGTTCCATTTCTAGACCACCCACGACTGTCAACTTACTAATATTCATGATTTAATATCTATCAATGTGAAAGCAAACAAAAATTTATCAATTGAAAGACTCTGGGTTGACATAATGAAGAAAAAGAAAATTACAGGTGGGGCACAATATAAAATTAGTGATCAAGGGCTGCTGCCAACATTTCCGCTATTTATGTACATGGTGAATGCACACAGCATTCCTAAGCACAGCCCACAAACTGCACTGCCACCAACAGCATTCTTAAGCAGCAGGAGCTCCTCCTTATTAGCATGCCACACAGCTCTTCCCTCACTGATGCAGGGCAGCCAACAGAGAGATGGAGTTTACAAGTAAAAGTGAGACTAATTACTTACTTACCTTCTAACTTACTGGAAGGCTTGCTCCTTTAACTTTTTGTTTCCTCTCTTGTCATAGCTTGGCGGCAAATGGTTATGATTCAGCAGAAGTTAGAATCTGAAGGTTCAAAAAGAATTGTTTGTTTTTTTTTAAAAAAAAAAAAAGAAAAAGAAAAGAAAGTTCCCTTCACTAACTCTTTCAGTCTTTCTTTTCTTGCCCTGTGTGTACGTGTTTCTCTTTTTCTCTCTCTACAAGGCAGCTACGTAGTGGTCTATAAATATTGACCCTGACACTTGCTCAGTGCTTTCCTTGCTCAGGGAACAGGTCTGTGTTACTGAACACCGTGGTAATGCTCCGGCAGAGTTCTCAGCTGCTCAGACAAAGCTGTGGATTGGCTCACTACCCGGCAGCCCTGTGCCTGCCTGGAAATACCATTTTGTTGCCAGCTTTACAGATGCTATGGGCCTTTTCTGAGGCCCAAATCAGGCACAGAAGGACAATTATGAGGTCTGTCTGAAGAAATATGCTTTCTTCAAGCAAAGGGCCTAAGTGGAGTACAAGAAAAGAAATATTGTTTCTGTTTTGGCCAAGCAACATAATCTCAAATCCTTTATCAAAGTCGTACTTAAATGTCATTCAGTCAAACTTTATAAAATTGAATTACTACATATTGTGAATGACCAAAGGATCATTATGTGCTTAGGAAGCATTTTGGTGGTTGTTTCAATATTGCTAATCATTAAATAAGGATGCAGTGACTAAGTAATTGGCCACAAAGAAATGTTTCAAAACAAATTCTTTCCAGAAAGAGAGAAATGCACTGAAAAGCTGAATTCTAAGAACTACAGGTGATGAAGGGTTTTATACACCAGGTTAAAAAACATGGATTTTATACAGTAGGCTAGCAATTTTCAGAGACACTTGAAAGGAGTTTTAAAATGTAAATAATGACTCAAATATTACCAAGTTCACAAACATAATATTTTACCTGTCATAAATACGTATCTTCAAAGAATTTAACTCTACCCCACTAGACAAATGGACATTTTAGAATAAACTACTTTAAATATGATCAATATAATCTGAATAAACAATTTCACAAAATCAATCTCATTTAAATGATGTACGGAGACAAAACATTTTACTTTCTGGGTGTTTATTTCTACCTCACTTCCTCACAAATGTTTATGTAATATATTTAATTATTAAAATTCTTCAATTGTTCACCCCATCTTACTTTCCTGCAATAAAACTTAAGGAATTGAAAATTTTAATTGTTAAATTTTCTATAAGGATATAACATTTGGAATGGATGAGGGTATGTTCTACATGAGGCGACTCATGTAAATAAGAGAAAGATTGTTGTGAAGTAAGCATTGCTCTTAGCCAGACCAATAATCACAGAGTTTTTGCAAAAGTTGAGAATATGGACACGGACTCAATTGAAACTATCCAATCATTTGCTAAATGGAAGAAGCCACTCTAAAAAGCTACAAACTGATTGATTCCACCGTGTGACATTCTAGACAAGGTATAATTACCATGATGTTAAAAAGATCCATGGTTGCCAGAGATTGGGGGGGCAGGGAGAAAAGGATGACTGGGTACAGGGATTTTATTAGGGCAGTGCAACTACACTGCATGTAATAGCAGAAACATGACTATATGCAGTATTGGGCAAAACTTATAAAACTACACCACATAGAGTCCAAATGGAAACCATGAACTTTGGTTAAGTCTCTTTGTCTTCCTGAAGCTTGTGTTCTAAGGATAGTATTATTATTTATTTAGTGACTACTGACCTAACAAGCATTTAAAAAAATCTCAAAAAATATTACCTCAAAAATTAAATATTAGATAGATAGATTTGATGAAGAAAGGTTTATGTTAAGTGGCTTGTTTGATATCATACAACAAAGGAAGAGAGAACTGGGATTCAATCCACGTATGTCTGACTTAATTCCACTCCCACACATCTCCTTTGCATGTCTCTTCAATAAGATGTTGAAGCTCCTCAGACCAGGCAAGGAAGTAGACTAAGCTGTGTCCTCTGAAAGTCAAAGGGAAATAGAATCTTATGCTGCATTTTCTCAAGTAACTTCCAGAATGTCAACATTGAGTATTAAATGATTACAAAAAGAAGAGACTAACAAAACAATCCATGGACAAAATTAAAATAATTGTTATGCCCTCTTAATACAATCTTAAAGGTTTTTATTCAATTGTAAAATGGCAATATGATTGAAAGATAGGGAAGAGTTAAAGGTATGAAGACTCAATATTGAAAAGATGTCAGTTCTTCCCAATTTTACCTAGTGATTCAATATAATCCCAATCAAAATTTCAACACATTATTTTGTGAATATAAAGAAACCTGTACTAAAGGCTTACAATATTGAATACAAAGAACTAATTTGGGGAATGATACTACAGCCTATATCAAGATTAACTATAAATGTTAGTAATCAAGACAATATGTTATTGGAGAAATAATAGACAAACATATGGAGCAGAATACAGAGCCCAGAAATACTCATACATATATACATATACTACATTATATACATACATGTATAAATTTATTATACATATATACATAAGTAAATAGATCTATTCAACTGATTAAAGTTGAAAAAGTTGCAAAGATAATATATAGCAAAGACAATCTTTTCAATAAATAATGTTGAGCTAGACATCCATAAACCAGAAAATGAATACACTGATCTTACACCCTTCAAAAAAATTCAAATGGTCTAAACATAAAATGCAAAGACATAAAACTCCAAAGAGGTACAGAAAAGAAAATGATGACTGCAAGCATGGCAATGACTTGTTGTGATGCAATAACCAAAGCATAATCCAAAAAGAAAAACTGACAACTAGATTTCATTAAAATTAAAAATCTCTAGTATGTAATTCTCAGAATAAAAGGTCATGGGTATCATTTCTCCCATTTCACAGATGAGACCATTGATTTTCAGAAAGTTTAAAGATTTTTCCTGAGTTTTTATAGTTATATCTGGTTTGGCTAGAACTTAAATCATTAAAGCTTGTCTGACTTCAATTTTTTTCATGATCTACAGAATGTAAAGAGAATAAGAAGACAAAACTAAAACTGTGAGAACTTTTTTGTAAAATACACCTTTGATAAAGGACTTTTACCCAAAATATACTCTTAAACATATTACTCAAAATTACTATCACTCAAAAATATATATAAGAACTCTTACAACTCAACAATAAGAAAAAAACAACCCAATTAAATGGGTTGATGACCTTAACACACACCTCACCAAAGAGATATAGACTGTAAATAAGCCTATGAAAGGAGATTCCACATCCTAAGTATTAGGGAAATGCAAACTAAAGTAAAAATATGTCACTATGCACCTATGACCAAAATCTGGAATTCTGACAACACCTAATGCTAATGAGGATGCAGAACAAAGGGAAATTTCATTCATACCATGTGAGAATGAAAAATGGAACTCTCCACTTTGAAAAACAGTTTGTCAGGTTTCACAAAATTAAACATACTCTTACCACGTGATCCAGCAATCACATTCCTTCGTATCTACCCAAGGAAGTGGAAAGCCTATGTCTACATCAAAACCTGGAAATGGTGTTTAAAGCAATTTACTCATAATAGTCAAAATGTGGGAGCAACCAAAATGTATCCCAATAGATGAATGGGTAAATCATGTATCATCCAATGAAACACTGCCCAACACCAAAAAGAAATAAGCTATCAAGTCATTAAAGTAACTGCAGAAACCTTATATGCATACTAATTGAAAGAAGCCAACATGAAAGGGCCACAGACTGTATGATTCCAATCATATGACTCTCTGAAAAAGTCAAAACTGTGGAAACAGCAAAATGAAATGAGTTTGTTTAGGGGAAGGACGAATAAGCAAAACATACAGGATTTATGGAGCAGTTAAAAATACTCTATATGATACTCTAATAATGGACACATGGCATTTTACATTATGTCCAAATCTGGTATAAAAGCAAGAGTGAAACACAAGCTTTGCATTTTTAGTGATTATGATGTTGGAATGTAGAGTCATCAATTAAAAAATTGTAACATCCTGGTGGAGAATGCTGAGGATACATGGGATACCTCTGCACATTCCTCAGGATTTTGCTGTAAACCTAAACTGCTCTAAAAATTTGAGTGTTCAGAAAGTCAAAGCAGACTGCTCTGTTGGTATTTGGTCTTTTCTAAGAAAGAATTTATAAAGAGAGGGACCACTTTGTAAGGAAGAACAAATTGCGAATAGCAAGTGACAGGAGACACAGCCAGTGCCCTCCCAGAACTGCAGAGGCCTCACGGTCTTCTTCAAAACTCTGACAATGCCAGCTTGGACCTTTGAGAACCAGGATCCATGTCCAGAAAGGTACAAGAATTTCTAGGGGCTTTGTGATCTCCCAAGAATACCTGGCAGAGGCCTCACAACCTTCTAGGACACCTCACCAGTGCCATGAGGACCCATATAAAGGAAAGTGTCAGAGCAGCCATAATCCTGTGACCTCCCACGAGACCTCTGGCAGCATCCACACAGACTGGTAAGAACCCACAACCGTGCAACAGAAGGTGCCATTGCTCAGAGACCTCATGAGGTAACACAACAGCACCTGCTCAGATCAGTAAAACCATGGTACTATATCTGGGAAGGAGCCAGAGCAGCCAAAGACCTCATCACCTGTCAGGATACCCAGCCAGCACCTGCCCAGACTGGCAAGAGGACTCGCAACCTCACTTAAGACCCAACCAGCTGCTTGTCAGATAGATGAGACCCCTAAAACTGAGGAAGAAGGACCATGCCCAGAGGAAGAACTACCTACAAAGCTAACATGGGAGGATAACCCAACAAATAGCAATGTGAATCCTCGGGAATAATGCAACACAGAGAGACAAAAAAATCACTAGAACTCCAATTCATAAACGTAGAATCCATGTGCTCACTATCAGAAACAGAGTTTGTAATTAAACAGTATAAAGAAATTCAAAGAAATAGATGAAAACTCAGAAAAACAACTGAATGTCCTTAGAAATAAAATGTCCTTAGAAATAAAATCAATTAACTGAAGAAAGAAACTGAAGCTCTAAATAAGACAAAAACGGAGGACTACCTAGTGGCGCAAGGGGTTAAGTCTCAGCACTATGAAGCTCAAGGGGTTAAGTCTCAGCACTATGAAGCTATTGGCAGCCACGACAGCATGAGTACGATCTCTAGCCAGGGAGTTAACCCACAGAGGCCTCTCCTGCTTTGCATGCTGCTCCCTACAGCAGTGTATTTCAGTAGATCTGCCTGTTCTGCTGCCCACTGTCTCTGGTGAATCCTCTTACCTCCCATACTTCCTGGCCTAGACCCCTGTTCTTGTTTGTATAAATTGAAAAAATAAATCTTTAATTTTTTAAAAAATATATAAAAAATAGAGTTTCAGGATTTAAAAAGATGATTGCAGAAGAATAAAGATTCAGGAAAAAATAATGGAACTGGAACAGATCAAGTGGAAGAATGAGTCAGTGTAACTAAAGATGCAGATTTACAAAGAACCCAGGTAGAGAAGGAAAGAGAGAAACAAAGTAAAAAACAAATTAATAAAAACAGAAAATTGTACAATTCCATGAGAAAGGGCAATACAAGAATAATAGGAATATTAGAGGAGGAACAGAGAAAAGAACAATGTATATAAAGAAATAATGGAGGGAAACTTTACAAACCTAGAGAAGGGAATAAATGCACAAATCCAGGGAGCTAAAAGATCCCCAGTAAACCTGGATAAACTGAGACCAACACAAAGACTTAGAGTAGTGAAATTTCTAGGAGTTCAGGACAAAGAAAGAATACTGAAACTGGCAAGGGGGAAGAAGCGGATAACCTATAAAGGCACATCAATCAGATAACATCAGACTTCTCTGAAGACACACAATGATTGAAGAGAGAATGGAGTGTTGTGTTGCAAACACTTAAAAGAGAAAAAAACTGTCAACCAAGAATATCTAGTAAGATTCTCCTCCAAATACAAGGGAGGAATAAAGGCCTTTTCAGACAAACTCAGAAATTTCAGACAAACCCACAAACACTAAACCATCCCCCCAAGAGATAGTGAAAGGAGTTTATAACTGAAACTGGAGGGAACATTCACAACAAACTTAGGGAAAAAAACAGATTTACCCACAAATATTAACAATAAAATGGCAGTAACACACTCTCACATATCAAAAACCACTTTAAATTTAGATGGTCTGAACTCACTGATTAAAAGGTACACAGGGGGGCCTCCCCTGGTGGTGCAGCGGTTGAGCGCTGGGCTGCGAAGCTGCCCCCAGCCTCTGTAGCACCGGTTGGATCCCCGGCCACCAGTGAGGGTCCCACATGGTGCAGAGACCTCTCCTGCCACCCGCTGCTCCCCTCAGCAGTGTACTTCATTGGTCTGCCTGTTCTGCTCCCCCACTCTGGCTCTGGTGAATTCTCTCACCCTCCCGTGCTTCTGACTGTACCCAGTGCTTGTATAAATAAATAAATAAATATTCTAAAAAAATAAATAAATAAAAGGTACACAGTATCCAGTAGGATCAGTACACCGAATCCAATCTTTTGCTTCTTCCAGGAGACACGCATAATTCCAAATACAAACATAGGCTCCAAGAAGAGAGTTGAAAAACAATCCTTCAGGCTAATGAGATGCTAACGAAGGCAGGGAGAGCCATACTTATATTATAAAATGAATTTCCAGTTTAAACAGGTAATAAGAGACAGGGAGTCACACTATATAATCATTAAGGAAAAGAAAGCATAATAGTCAGCAACATATATGCATCAAATGAAGAGCACCAAAATACATTTGGCAATTACTATCCATTCTGAAAACAAACATTAGAAAAAACACATTTGTGGGAGGAGACTTCAACACCCCACTCTCATGGATAGAAAAATAGGAAAGAAAATAAATGAGGACAAAATAGCCTTAAATAGTGTATTTGACCTCATGGACCTAACAGACATTTACAGGGCATGGCACCTCAAAAAAGAAAAA